TGATAATGCTGAAAACATTGTAAAAAAACTTCAAAATGCAGTAAATAAATATTACCAGGAATATAATTATAATCAAACTCATAGACTACGTTATCTAGGAAACTCAGTCTGTACTAAAAGAAGAAAAAGACAGCAACAATGTGAGGCAGCAAAAGGAACCCCTCCACTACATACCTTTTGAAATCAAGAAAAATTACAGGCTAGTAGAGAAAAATTGTATGATGAACAGTCAGAGAATAAAGATCAGTTAGAGAAAGTCAATGAGGAACAATCGGAGAATAAAGATCAGTTGGAAGAAGTCAATGAGGATGAGGAAGATTTTGGGAGATTGTCAGAGGATGAGATTGAAGCTTGTAATTTACTTAAAAAAATTCCAGCCGCTCTTAAAAATCTAGCATTAGATATCAAAAAAAAAAACATAAATAGTGAGGTTTGGGTTTGTCTTAATAGCATTCGTTTTTATCTTCAGCTTGTTAAAAATAATCATCAAAAAATAGAAACAAGTAAAATCATTGCAGATGCAGCAGGAAAAGGGTGTATCATGCTAGGTGCATTCGTTCTTGGGCGCATGAATATGTTATGGTACGTCAGATTCTTTATTCTCGCCGTGAGCATCATGCTAAAACATAGAGCTTTCTTTGGGATAAAGATATTCTTCTTCAAATAAAATCATATATTCAAGAAAATAAGTGGAATATTACACCATATATGATCATGTCGCAAATGAATAAGGTTCTTTTACCAGGGCTCGGATTTGCACCACCTCCAACAATTTCTCTCAATACTGCTAAAAATTATTTAAAGGAGCTTGGGTACGTCTATGAAAGAGTAAAAAAAAGTGTTTATATAGATGGACATGAGAGAGAAGATGTAGTAGCTTATCGGGAGATATTTTTGCAGCGAATAAGTGAACTTGAATATAGAATGCCTATATTTTCAGGAGATAAAATAGAAGTGGGAACTTGGCCAGACAGCAATATACAACCCCTTATTCTTGTTATACATGATGAATGCATCTTTTCTGCTAATAATAGAAGTCGGAGCCTTTGGATTTTTGATGGTGAACAATCTTTACGAAAAAAAGGTCAGGGCCGTTCAATTCATGTTAGTGAATTTTTAATTGATGTTTGTGGTCGACTTATGCTTCCTGATGAAATACAACCATTGGATGAGCTTTCTAGAGAAGCCTGTGTCATTACATACCCTGGCAAAAATGGAGATGGATGGTGGAAGTCTGAGGACTTGATTAACCAGATAATCAACTGCGCTATTCCCATATTCGAAGCATGTTTTCTAGGATACCAAGCCTTGTTCGCATTTGACAATGCAACAAGCCATGCTATTTTTTCACCTGATGCACTTATCACCAACTATATGAACCTTGGTCTTGCTGGAAAACAAGAGAAACTACGTAGCACATCATATTTTCGTGAGGGAATAAGATATGACCAGGATATGATTTTTTCATCAGACTATCGTATTTCTGAGTTACATGAAGAAGCTAAAGGATTAAGAGAAGTTTTAAGAAAGAGAGGATTGTGGCCAGAAAAAGGATTAAAATTAAAAGAAACACAAGAATTAATGAGTTAACAACCAGACTTTTTGGCGCAAAAAAGACAGTTGAAAGAAATTATTGTTGTGGCTAGGCACCAAATTGTGTTTTACCCCAAATTTCATTGTGAGCTCAATTACATTGAGAACTTCTGTGGTGTAGCTAAGAGATATAGCCAGTCACATTGTGATTATTCATGGAAAGGATTGCAAAGAACTGTTCCATTATCTCTTGATTCTGTCTCACTCCCAACTATTTGCCGATATGCAAAGAAGGTATTTTGCTATATGGATGTATATCGAAAAGGTTTGAAGGGTAAAGCAGCTGAATTTGCTGTTAAAAAATATCGTTCACACTGCCGAATTCCTGATTCAGTTTTAAATTCAATTGAATCTGATTAGTTAATTCTTTTTTTTTTTTGCATGACATAAATTTAATATGGTGCGAGCACTCTAGTTGTATCAAATTTGTGTCACAATATCTTGATCATTAGTGTGGCATGATATCTTCAAGCTATTTTCAAATCGCTACTGCTCAACGAATATGCACAAATTCGCAAAAAAAAAAAAAATCTGTAACTCGATAACTACAGGAAAATTTTACAAAATTACGATTTTTTTTTGCGAATTTATACATATTCGTTAAGAGTAGGGATTTTGGATATCTTTAGGATGCTCGCACCATATTATATTATCAATTATTTTAAATGTTCATCTTTTTTTTTTGATCTCTTTGAAGAATTTACAATAAATATAAATTTCATATGTGCAAAGCTGCTAATTATTAGTACTGCAGTAATGGTAATGTAAATACCAAAGAATTGTTTCACAAAGTTAGTCTAATGCATTTAATTAAGCACCAAAAGAGGTCGAGTAATCTTGAGGTATATAAATAAATGGCCCAAATAGTCAACTAAATAGTCAAGTTATCGGTTTTAATTATATTTACGTCAAATTACTTAATAATATATTATCGTGGCCAAATTACTTGTTTTAATAGCATATATAAAGTGGCCAAATTGCTTATTCTAATAGTATTTGAGAATGGCCAAATTGTTTGTTTAATTATAAAATTAGTTCGACTTTTATCCACTACTATTTTTTAAAATATAATTTTAAAAAATTTTCAAGAACTTGGGTTTGTGTAATTTAAGTAGCATTATGGTTTTGAGATAAGATTTTGTATTTATTAAAGTTTTTAAAAAAGGATTAGCAATTTGAAATATATCAATTTTATTTGTCAAGACTAGGTTGTCTGCGCTGTATAACATTTATTATTCTATTAGACCTTTGAGTTAGTTAACAAAACAATAAAATGGTTAAGTTTTTTTATCTATATTTTTATAAATTTTGAATAAAGAAATCTTACTAATGTTTTGTTTACTTTCAATAATCAACTATTCTTAAATTTTACAAATCAATAGAATTTTAAAATAGTTTTAAAATGTTTAACCAGATTATTATTGTGATCTTTTTAAAAAATATATAAATAATATTATGTTCTAATAAAAATATTATATATTTTGTGTGTTTAAAATTCTGATTTCTAGATTCTAGTATAATTTATATTTGCTAATTATTTTTTAAACCATAAAATTTAGCAAGCAAATTTGACTGCTAAAATAATTAGATAAAAATTAAGATATATAAAAAATTTTTTATAAAAATCTTTATTCTAATTAACTATCATAACTCTTGTAAACCTGAGTCATATATCATACTCAATAATTACAATATTATATACTAAAAATTATCTAAACAAATAGTATAAATTCATATAATTACTGTAAAATATGCCATTTGACTTGATCTTTTGGGCCATATTATTTTCTTACTATTACTCCAAAATTAGCTTTGTGATATTGGTTATAAAGAATCTTTGACCAACTCTAATGTTATATTATAAAAAGTACCTTTACATGACAATTATGAAAATCATTCATATTTGTTATGTGACAGTTAATTTTTTTATTATTAAATTTAAATATAAGATTATATTATG